GCTCGGCTCTCTGCTCCCTGGTGCAGGCATCTGTCTTTCGCGTGCGCATGCCCAACGGCCTGACCAAGCGCGTGCCGTTGGCCGGGCTTGAAGGCATGACCGTTGGCGAGTTTGCCGCGGCGCAGCTCCCGACGGCGGACGCAGGCGCCCCGAGCCCGGGGCTGGCCCTGGACCCGGCCGGCAAGACGCTCCTTCCAGCCGACTCGGGCCTGCTGTCGCATGATCTCCCGTGCGTGCTCTCCGCCAGGATCGTGGCCTCCCCCAGCTGCCCCGGGTCCTGGGCCTTGTCTCGCTCTCGCCCACTCGGCATACCATCGCACTGACCCCGTGGAGCATGCGGCAACCACCATCACTGGCACCACCGCCACCGCCACCGCCACCGCCACCGCCGCCCACTCGCATGGCCTTGGTCCGGCTGCCCTTCCCCCGGCGCAGGAACGGTGCGATGCTCTTTTTGGTGAGCAACACCGGGACCACGGCCAAGCGCCCGGCCGCCGCCGCCGCCAACCCGCTGGACCAGGTGCTGCTGGCATGCCAAGACCCGCTGGCCGATCCGCTCCTAGTGCCCACGGCGGCGGCGGCGGCGGCGGCCACCCCGGCCGTGGTGCCGGTGCGCACGACTCCTGCGCCGGATGGCGCCGGGCGAGGCCCGGCCTTTCTGACGCAGTCCCCGCTGGAGGCCTCGTACCGCAATGAGCGTGGCATCAAGCACGCCAGTGCGCATGCGTTTGTCCGCGCACGCATGGACGCCTCGCGTTCCAGTGCCCTGCATGGCAAGGTGCGCGTCCCTTCATCGGACCCAGCCGCTTGGCCCGGCCCGACCTCCTTCCTGCCTGCCCCGTGGGTTCCCCCCCCCCCCCCCCCCCCCCCCCCCCCCCCACCTGTACTGATGCCCCCGCCGCGCTCCCTTGTGCCCAGTTGGCCGTGGTGGACGATGGAATCGCCGCACTGGCCGAGGCCACGAAGGCGGCCGACCCGGCGGCCGGGCCGGTGTCCGTGGCTGCCATGCCGCCGGCCGTGCGCCTGGCCTCGCAGGAGTACCGCCATGTGGACCATGTCCTCTTTGAGGCGCCGCACCTGGTCGATCGGTTCCTGGCCAGCTGGCGCAACTCCGGCGCCCGGCGCCAGCGTTTCGGCCTGCTGGTCGGCCGGCTGGAGCCCTACACCGGGGTGCCGCTCGGCATCCAGGCGCGCGTGTGTGCCATCTACGAGCCGGAGCAGGAGGACGAGCCGGGGTCGGCGGCCGGGCGCGGGGCCATCCGCCTGAAGGCCGAGGACTTCGCGGCCGAGGTGGCCCGGCTGAATGGCATCCTCCGGCCGTTGGTCCCGGCGCCGCTCAACCCGCCGGCCGATCCGAGCACCATCTCGGCCGCCGGGGCGCGCTTGCTGCTGGAGCCGCTGTGCGTGGTCGGCGCCATCTGGACCGACTTGGAGGATGATGGCACCGGCGCCGGGCGGGTGAAGCCGCGCATGCACCCGGTCAAGTCGGACCGCGAGCTGGAGCTCGAGGCCGTGGCCGGCACGGACCCGGCCGCGGCGCTGGAGCTCCTCCGCCACCGCGCGGCCCCCAAGCTTCTGGACGGGTCGCCGGTGACCTGCGTCGAGGTGGCCGCCATGGCGCGCATGCAATTTGCCCTGTCCAAGCATGGGGGCGGCAGCGGGTCCGTGCAGATGCCCGGCGCCGAGGGGGGCCACTTTGGGAGCCGCTTCGTGTCGGTCATTGTCCATGGCACGTGTGCTGCGAGCTTGGCGCCAGCGCTGTCCCCTCCTCCCGTCGCTCCTTCTCGCCAGATCTCCCTTTTCCCCTCCTCTCGCCCTGCTGTTGCCGCTTCCATCCATCTAACCCCCCGCGGCGTGTGGCAACAGGCGACCGCGATGGCAACCCCGCTCTCGAGGCGTACATGGCCTCCGACCAGGCGGTGGCCCTGATCGCGGCCACCGGGTTGGTCACCGCTTCCAGCGAGCCGACCGCCATGTATGCGCTGCCCGAGGTGCCTGGCCGTTTTGTGCCGGATCTCCTGTTCAGGTGCGTGCTGCCCCCTTCCGGGGTCCTTCGGCTGCGTGCGGTGACTCGTCCCATGCCGCGTATGCCGGGGAGGGCCCAGCGGCGGGGGCATCCCCGTGGCGCGGGTTGGGCATGCGCGCGAGCGCCGGCCATGTCGGTCTCGGGAGGGGTACTCGCATGGGTGGTCGCGGCTTTGCTAACACCGCCGGATCGTGGGCGACCGCCCGTGGCTGCCCCCTGCTGTGGCTTGGCTCCAGTGAGCAGGACGCCCTCGATGACAAGGTCACCAAGAAGGCATCGCCCCTGTTCCCGGTGGAGCTGATGCTGGTGTCCCTGACGCACGGGTTCCCGGCCCCGGGCACGCGGGACTCCTCGACCCCCGGGTCGGCCATGTCCACCTCCGGGGTGTCGTCGTCGGCCGGCGGCTCGCCGATGTCCTCGCTCTCCTCGCTGGGGTCTCTGTCGGGCGCATCCTCGGCCCGTTCCTCGCCGTTGATGATGTCCTCCGGTGCTTCGTCGATGCAGTCTTCGCCCCTGCTGGGCGGCGTGGTGGACCTGACGGTGGTCCGTCCGCGGCCGGTCTTCCCTGACAGCTCTCCCTGTCCCTTCCCGGTGGAAAACCGCTCGCCGACGCCGGTGCACGCGTCGGCCGTGCTGCGCGCGCACTTCCGCGGGCATCAGGCCACCGCGGCCACCACCGGGGGCAATGACGCGGCGCATGATTTCCACTTCTTCGTGTGGCTGCGTGAGCGGGACTTCCTGCCGGACCCGGCCGACCCGGAGGACGCCGATTCGGCCGCCGGCACGGAGCTCACCGCTTGGGCGCGTGCGGCGGTCGGCCTGACCCCGGAGGAGGCGGATCTCATGCAGGCCCTGCAGCGCCGGGCCGCCTCCGACAAGGGCGTCCGTCTGTCCTCGGCCACCAGCGAGCCCGCCCCGGCCGGTGCGCCCATCCTCCCGGCCATCGCCCGGCCAGTCAACACCACGGTCACCTGGTCCACTCTGCAGATGATCAGCTCGTGAGGGGGATATAGCACAGGGGGGGGGGGGGGGGGCGGAGCTGCCTTCCTCCCTCGCCCTCGCTCTCGGCCATCTTTCCCCGGCACCCGGAGGCGCGGCGGGAAAGGTCCAGGGGCCAGCGGCGGCGGGGTGGCGATTCGCGAGTGTTGCGTTTGTTCTTCGGTTTCTTTCCCTCCCCCCCCCCACCCACCCCCATGCACAATACACATCAATGCAGGGCTCTGAGCATGGTGTCGACACACGTCGGGCCGCCGGCCGTGGCGGAGAGTGGCCATGCTTGGCCGTGGTCCACATGCGGCGGGCTCGATGCCGGCAGGACCCCGCACAATCCCTTGTCGGGCGCTGTACTTGAAAAAGGCCGCCACCCACCTCCCCGCCCCGCGTGACAGGCAAGAGTACATGGCGGCATCGGAGGCCGGCCCCGGAAGAGGGAGGAGAAAGGGAGTTGGCGTGTGCGAAATCGTCCAAGGCAAGTGAAGCGTGTATTCTCGCCGAGAGGACGGAGAGAGAGAGAGAGCGCGCGCGCGCGAGAGCGAGAGAGCGGAGAGGGAGGGTCAGGCACACGAGTGAGGCCGGCTACACCAGGTCCTGGAAGAGACCGATCCAGCCGGTCTCCTTGCCGACCGCCAGCTGCAGGGGCCCGGGGGTGCCCGGCGGGCCGCGAGCCGGCCGGCTGGCCATGCAGAAGAGGCTGGACCCGGAGTCGAGGGCCGAGTCATCGGGGACCAGCCGTGCGAAGTCCCCCCCCGAGACCGGGACCCACTGGGCCCCGGGCTTGGCGGCCATGCGAGCCGCGGCCACGGCCCCGGCATCCACCACCAGCAGGCCCAGGCCGACGGCCGGGCAAAAGAGGAACCCCCCGCACGGGGACCAGGCCATCGACCGCAGGGTGGTGGCAAGCCGGGGGATGTCGGCCGACGGGACGGCCGTCTGCATGGCCGGGTCGACGAGCTGCGAGAAGAGCAGCTCCCCGGAGCCCGGGTCGAAGAGGGCCAGCCGGCCATCCGAGTAGAGGACCGCCAGCAGGCCATGGCCGCCGGCCCGGTGCGAGGCATCCCGGCGGAAGGGCCCGACTCGGGCCCGGGCCCCCGGGGCCGAGTGGAAGCACCCCGGCGACAGGCTGATGGCGATGCCCATGCATCCGGCCGGGGCCGGGAAGACCATCAACTCGTAGGCGCCGGCCCGGCGAGCCGCATGGGCCGCCCCCACCGGCCGGTCGAAGTCCGCCTCGAAGGCCGGCAGCCCCAGGGCCTGGGCCTCGCGCAGGGCCTGGCATGCGCGCAGCGGATCCGCCAAGCTCACCAGCACAACATTGCCCGAGAGCAGGGTGCACCCGAGCAGGGTGTCCTCATTGAGACGAGCGGTGACGCATGTGCCCCCGAGGGCCACCGAGGCGATGCACCCGGGGGGCAGGCTCGCGCCGGCCTGCTCGGCCGCCAGGCTGTCCAGGAAGTCCTCGTCATCGAGCGAGCTGTCGCCCGAGAAGTCGGCATCCGTGTCCGAGCCGGAATCCGAGGCCTCGGAGCATGAGCTCGAGCCGGACCCCGGGTCCGGGTCCGGGTCCAGGTCCGAGTCGGACTCCGTGTCGGTCGGGGCCGTGGTGTCGGGCGAGTCGCAAGGGCGCGCCAGGTGGCCGGGGCTGGCGCTGGAGCTTGGCTCGGAGCCCGGGGCCTGGACCGAGGATGCCGGCGAGGAGGGCCCCCAAAGCCGGGCACAGGGGTCGGTATTCCAGAGCTCCGGCGCGTCGGCCTCCGGGTCGACACTCGGGGCCCGGGCGGCCGGCTGGCCGCCCAGCAGAACCTCCAGGTCCCACAGCCGGAAGGCGCCGTCCATGCCACAGGAAGCCAGCAGGCGCAGCCCGGGGTCCAGCGGGGCCGGCAGCATGGCCAGCCCCTTGATCCAATCCCGATGGTGCGGGTCCTCCCCGAGCCCGGGGCCGACCACACAGCCGGGGTGCCCAACTCGCAGGGTGTCATACGGCAGGACGGCCGGCGCGCCAACTTGATCGAGGACCGCCAGCAGGCCAGCCAGGTGCCAGAGGCGCACGGCCCCATCGTCGCCGGCCGTGGCGAAGTACATTTCGCCCGGGCCGGCACCGGCCCCCGGGGTCGGCGCATCCTCCGGCGCATCCTCCGGCGCATCCTCCGGCGCATCCTCCGACGAGCACCGGCGCCGGAAGAAGACCACGCAATTGGCCGCGGTGCCGCCGAAGGGGCCGACCGAGTGCGCGTGCGGCACCGACAGCAGCAACTCCGTGGAGGCCGCGTCAAAGAGATGCACGCCGCCATCCGAAGCACATGCCACCAGGTACCCCCCGCAGGGGGAATACTCCAGGGCGTAGACCGATTGGCCGGAGGCCGGGGCCTCGGCCGGGGCCGACGTTCCGGCGGCCAGCTCCGGAGCCGGGCGCAAGACCGCCGGGCTCAGGCGCCAGCGCAGGCGCCGGGGCGAGGGGCGGCCCAGGCCGCCGCGTGCCGTTTCGCCGGTCACCGGGACCCGGACTGACAGGATCTCCGTCGGGCGCCGGGCCAGCGAGAGGGCCCGGCCGGTGGGCAGCGCCACATGGGTGCATACGCCGCACGATCGGCCCAGGGTGGCGGCGTCAGCTCGGGCCAGCAGTCCGGCCGGGGTGTGTCGACAGCCGCCCGGCGGTGGGAGGGCAGGCGGGTGTTTCATCGGCCTGATACTGCGTGTGTGTGTGCATGCACAGGCGCCGGGGCAAGGTAGAGAGGAGCAGGAGAGAGAGAGAGAGAGAGAGAAAGAGGCAGGAGGAGAAGTGGGGAGACTGGAAGGTCAGGACGTGTGTGTGTGTGTGTGTGTGTGTGTGTGGAGTGGGTGGGGGTGCCCGTGCGTTGAAGGAGGCGCCCGCACTCGTGGGGGCGGGGGCTCTTGAGGGGCTCTGATCTCGTTGCTGGCGGGTCCTGAGTGCTGCCATATGCGGTCGGACCCCCACGTCCCCACCCCTCCCCCGGGACCCTGCCCGTCCGGCTTGAGAGCCAGCTTGCCGGCCGGCGCACCTCATGGAAGAGGCCGGACTAGGGGGGGTGCCTGTAGATTGGCCACACGCAGCCCCCCCCCCCTCCCCCCCCACTACCGCCACCACCCCCGCTGCCGCCGCCCCTGAGGCGAACCTGCCGTCCTCCTGAGGGATATACATTCCTCCCGGAATTGGCCCAGCAAAAGGGGAGTCGCCTTGCGTCGCCCTCCGGCCCCGGCGCCCTGCTTTTTTGTCGCTCCGCCCGTCCGGCCGTTGCCCGTTTGGTGGGGCATGTTGACAAGATCGCGCAGGCCCCCGCGCACGCCTTTTTTTTTATCCACGCCAGGGGTCGCACTTCAGCGAGACGATCTCGTCTCGATCGAGGACTGTGGGAGGACCTTTCGGAATGGCCATCACATGACCCAGGAGCGGGGGAGGCCTCAAGGGGCTCGGTGCACGATGCACGGCCACTGGTCGCCCCCCCCCCCCCCCCCCCCCCGGCGACCCAACCCCCGCCAGACAACTCTCCCCGGAGGACTCACTCATAAGATACTTGTATTCTTTGTTTGTTGTTTGTGTACTTCGAAGGGGGAAACCCCGGAAGTTCGGCAGGGTGACTCGTTGCCGGAGAGTGCAGCGCGCCGAAGAAATCACAAGCAAGAGAAGGGACACCACAGGGGAGGAGAGGGGGACGCGCGGGCATCACGCCGGGGGCCGTTGCCGGCCACCCTCCCCTGGCCTCCCCCCCTCCTCCCCAGGCATGCACACCGTGCCCCTTCTCTTGATTGTCCCGGCGAGCGGCATGCGCGTGTGCTTCCGGTGACCATGTCTCCCCCACTAGGGGCATCATGCGGCCCCGGGAACCACGGCCCGGAAGGCGCCAAACAGACCGAACATGATGAAGAGGACGGACCCAATCAATGTGACTGTGTGGCCGGAGGCGCAAGGTGTGGCCGGGGCTGTCAGACCGGATGCCGGCCAAGGCACAGGGAGGAAGCGAAACGCCCTGCGGCGGGGAGGAACCTTGCACGTACCGGCCTTGATGGACACCCGCTCGGCAAGGAGACGCCCGCCGACCACCGCGATGCCGGTGCACATGGCATGGCCCAGCAGCGAGCCGATGGTCACGCCATAGATGTTCTGCGAGAGGGGCCCGGGACCCAGCCCAAGGGAGGAGGGAGCACCACCCGGCAAGGGCGAACAGGAGGATGTCAGCGATCAAGCATGGGTCATTGCTGGAGGGACCGGAGTCACGGCCAAGTCGCCGGGCAGGAGGCAGGAGGCAGGAGGGGAAGCAGAAGCCGCAGCCCCGCGGCCCCGCAGCCCTCTCGGCAACGCACCTGCGCCGCAGCCAGGGCCATGGTGGTGATCTGCGAGCGGTCCCCCCACTCGGCCACGACCACCATCATGAAGGTATTCAACACGGCCACCGGGATGAGGCTGGTCACCGGGCGTAAAACTTGCTGGACCCCAGCGACACAGGCCCGGAGAGACCGCACCACCGACCGGGCCGCGCTGCTCACCTCGGCCGGGGTGGAGGAGGTGGCAGCATGGGCCACCCCCTTGGCATCGTCGGCCGGCAGGCCCAGCTCCGGGTCCAGGACCTGGGCCTTGGAGGGGGCGCTGGCCATCGAGGCCGGCCCTGTGGAGGAGGACTCCGAGCCCGGGCCCTCGGCGTCCTGCTTGAAGTGGGCCTTCACTTCGGCCTCCACTTCGGCCAGCTCCTCCGAGGCGTCCTCCTCCATGGTACGCCACTCGAGGATGCCGCGCACGCCGCACACCAAAAACAGGGCGATGGCCGACCAGGTCACCAGCCACGGGGGGAAGAGCACGGGCGCCGCCACGCCGAGGGCGCACGAGAGAACCGTCATGAAGGCCAGCGCGCCCCAGGCCCCGAGCCAGATGTGCAGTCGCGGGCTGTGGCATGTCCGCATGATGGCGTCAGCGCGAAGGCACCGGAGCCGCAGGAGGAAGCAGCAGGGCAGACCCAAAGAGGCAGAGAGAAAGGCAGAGAGGAAGGCAGAGAGAAAGGCAGAGAGGAGCCGGCGCTCGACGCGGTCGGCGGGACGCACAGCTTCATGGCCAGGATGGCCGCCAGGAAGAAGGTCTTATCGCCGATCTCACTGGCCAGGGTCATGGCCACGCCAGCCAGCAGGGCACGCTTGAAGCCGACCGGGCTGGCCGGCGGTGAGCCCACGTCACCCGGGCCGCCTTGCGTCTGGCTGTAGACCGGATAGCGCGGGGCACTGCTGTCCGCCCGCCAGTACCAGTGCCCGGGGTCGGAGTCGGCCTGGCCGGGAGTCGGGGCGGCCCCGCGCGGGGTGAGCACCGGCGCCGAGAGCTTCTGCCGTGTGCCCGGCAGCACGCCGACCACAAAGCGGTCCCGAGGGAGCGGAAGCGGCCCGGACTGCCCGGCGCGAAGGGAGGCCCGGCAAGCGGGAGGCCAAGGCGGTGGGTGTCAGCACAAGCGCGAGAGCCGGAGATCCGGAAGTGCCGCGGCGGCCGGCAGCAACATGCGCACCTCCGATGAGAGATCCCCCTCGGAGGACCGATGTTCCGGGGCCATTTCGATGAGGACGTCGCGCAGGGTGAAGCTGAACTCCCGCGGGCGGGCGGCTCCGGAGCCGGCGGCCGAGAGGCTGCGCCGGTGGAGGAGGAGCTCGGCATCGGAACGCGGGCCAAGCAGCGGCTCGGCCGGCGCCGCGGCAACTTCCGCCCGGCCAGTCTCGCCGAGCAGCACCAGCGCCAGCGCCAGGAGGCCGAGCAGACGCGCGGTCGGTCGCCGCATCATGGCCATCCGATGGGTGTTAAGATGTCTGGGAGGGGGAGGGGGGGGAAGGCGAGGAGGCGAGGGGGCGGGGAGGCGAGGGGGCGAGGGGCAAAGGAGAGGGACGGGGCCAAGAACCGGGCCGGCGGATGGGGAGCTGGGAGGGGCAGAGGAGGAGGATGGTTTCGCGATCCCGCCTGCTCCCCCGCCAGGACCAGGGTTGATCGAGAAAAGTGGCCCCGACACCGCGGACGTGTGCGGACTCAATGTGCCGTGCCCCACCCCGCCCCCCTCCCTGCCCGGGTAATATGCCACTTCGCGCCGCTGCCCGGGTGTCGGTGTCGGCTCTCATACGCACCCACACGCACCGCGGGTGCGGCGCCCGCCCCCTCGGCCCGGGGCCTCTCCGCTCGATCGGGCGGCTCTAGCCCGCAGGCGGGCGTGCCCGCCAGTCGACTGTGGATGCGGATGTGGATGCGCCGGTGGCAGGAGGGACCGGCGAACGCTGGCCTGACAGTTGACCGTGTGTGATTAATTGAGAGTCACGAGCGCGCCCCGGCCGCGGCGGGCGCGCTCCACCATGCGGGCCAGGCAGCCACGGCTCTCCGTTGGCATGTGGCGCACTCGCCCAGGCCGCCAGCCGGGTTCAAATCACAGTCGCCCGCACACGCCAGGGGCTTGGGAAGCCTGTTCTCCATAGAAAGAGAGAGAGACCCATCCCTGCCACACAGATCCCTCTCTCCCCCCCCCCCCCCC